GGCACCGCTTATCGTGCGAACGATACGGGGCTTAAGCATTTCCCACGACGACATTGGTGCGATAATTCGCTCGAAACGAATCTACAGCTGCAAGCTTCAGCGTCAAAAAGGGAAAATGAAAACGATTAGCCGAAAACACCGAGAGTAAAAGCCTTCCTATTCTTGACCCACGGCAGACAGAGGCAGGCAGTCCAAAAGGCATCGTGCGCAGAGGTGAAAGAGCTCCCAGCCAAATTTAGCCTAGGCTGTCCAAAACTTCATCTTCCCTTTATCGCTTACTTGCTAACAGACTCACCCAAAAAGCCGTTTTGCACATTTATTGTCTCACTGTCGTTGTGTAGACCCCAAATGCTCTCAAATTCTGTGTAGATATCGAATGCAGGCAGAACGCATGGCGCACTTCATAGGTGGGAATGACCAGTGCCGAAAGACGCCTACATGCTCTTCATGACTACTGCTTTGTTCTAGTTCCAATCGAGCCAACCATATGTGTGCCAACCATAAGGCGCCAGTCTCCGTGATAAAGTGCAGAGAACAATGCCCCATCTTCAGGAAAGTCCTACCAGCAGTTTGCGCTCAGTAACTTTATATGTGAGACTTGTTTTTCCAACGGAACTACAGAGAGAACATGCCAAAACCGTTACATTACCACATGTGAGCACTGGTGACAGTGGAGTCACCCAAACTTCACTGGGGGGGAGGGGGGGGGGGGGGTAGGGTGGGGACATGGGTGAAGGGAAGGAGCTCCATTTCAAGGTAACAAAGGGAGGAACGCGCCAGCGAAGATGGCGGAGTGTTACGAATGCAAGTGTTACGATGATTGGTTGCCGTTAAAAATGAAAGAGTTGACAAGAGGCGAGGAACCTGCGTCTACGGTATGGGATCCCTCTTTGCCCGTTGATTTTAGAGCTGGAAATGATCCTACGATACGTGACATCATCAACGTGACCCTTTGCTTTGCCATTCCATAGTCTTTCACCGCAAAGGGTAATGCCTCACCAACAGCCAATCATAGGCCGGGCGTGCTACCTGGAGGCGGAGCTTCCCACAACGGTACCGATCACCGCGGTAGGACCGCGCTAGGCCTCTGCCAACACCTCGTTACATGTCTCGATCCCTCACGGGCGTAGCCTTCAGCGTAGACAGAACACACTTTCTCCTATCCCCACCTATTTTGTCGTGCCATCTGCCTTTGGGTGGCTTCATCAACACAACCAAAGTGTAAAATGTTTCCAACGTCCACATTTCTGAATTGGCGTGAACTCGCCTTTCTGACTTGATACTTTTTGCTGCATACATATTTTTGCTGCCTTCTACTTTTGCTTCAGCAAATTTTTTGGGGACAGTTAATCCATAGACCAATTTATTTGAGTACTGATTCTCCAACTTCTTCAGAAAATTTCAGTAACACCGTAGGCATCTTATAAAACTTAACAGCTTCCTTGAAATTCGAACCCACTCGGTCATTGGCAGTTCTGACAAGTGCAGTTGGAATTTGCTGCAGCAGTAATAGTCGTAGCCTCACTTCACCAGCAGTTCGGGCCAGGGTCAACCCTATGTTGCTACAAGTAGCAACGGGGGGTCGTATTTTGATGAGTTTGTAGAGGGGGGTCGTACTTGCTTCGGTTGTAAGAAGTTGCATGTGATGAGTGGGGAGCGGCGCGGGAGAAAATTTGCCGTTTCAGCGCGCGTATATATCCCCCGCTCGACGGTAATTTTTTGGGGTAAAAATTGTTTTGAAAGAGGGGGTCGTATGAAACATTTCATGAGGGAGGGGGGTCGTAAAAACTTTTTGAAAAGTAGCAACGATAGGACCGACCCTGGTTCGGGCCCTCGCAGGAAGCCTACTGGTATTCCCAGTCGGCTGGATGTGCCCAATTACCATTTCTTTAATTTGGATGCTCACCCATGGAAGCCTTCAGAACTACACCTAAAGAAAGGTTAACGAGAGATTTCTAGTCCCTACATTGCCCTTCATGGTCAGTTACTAGTTCTTCTATATAGGCTTTTTTGCCACAGTTTGAGACAAGGACCTGATGCTCAACCTTGCCATTAGGCACCAGACTTGAGAAATGGCGCAATACGGATAAACAATCATTTTTACCACTACTGCTCTAAAAATCGAAACGTGTGATATCTATGACATTTTTTGGTCAGCATGAACCTTCCTTTGTTTCATGCGAGAAGTATTCTAGTGTTTGCGGGACAAACAGATCCTACGGAATACTAGAGCTTTTCGGTAAATAAACCTGACAATTTAACAAGGGCATAGCCGGGTTTCGTGAAATTGTATGTGGTTTCAGTGTACATTACCCGGAAAATTTTAGTCAGTGGAACAGCCGAAAACAATGTTTGCCTACTCACGCGCCTACGAAGACGACATGAGATAAGGGTTCAAAGAACCGGGTACTTATGATCTAGTAATCCCACGCCTGCGTTTGAAGGAGAGAAAACGGAGTTTTCCGGTCTAAGAAATGGGCAAAACCAACCTTTTTTTCTTTCCCGACGATTAACGGAATCAAACACAGCAGCGTGCCTTATCTTGAGGTGTTGCAAAATCGTTGGCCCTTCCCTTTTGAGCAGGCTGTCTTCCTCCACAGAACCGTTGAAGTGCTTAAAACTTAGCTTACTTTGCTATTTTGCCGTTGTTTACTCTTGTTTATCGCTATTTTTTGCTACGAGTATTCATGCATTTTTTAATTCCGGCAACACTAATTATTAGTCAGCCTATTTGTCTTTTTTATCCGGTCTATTTCAGATCATGAAACGAAAACCTAGTCTTCGAATGGTAATGGTGGCTTTAGTGGTGTCACTTGGTGGCTCATTTCATTTCGGTTACCAACTGGTGATCACCAATCCTGCTCAAAGCGCCTTTATGCAATTTTTAAACGAATCTCTTCAATCCGAACTTCATATCAATGCCAGCGACAACGCTCTGTCTGTGAGTGCTGCCTTTTGTTTTATTTACAGTAACCAGTGGGAACTTTTAGCTCCCCACAGAATTTTAACCTTTTCCGGACTGCACACTTTTTATACTCACCGCCGCGTGCTGCGCGGCAAGCATAAATATCATATATTTAATCTGTATTTCCACTGAAACCA